CGCCCTTCGCCACCTTCCTGGTCGGCCCCACACTCCTCACGCACGCACTCTCAGTCCCACACCCCGGGGTTGGCCGATCCTCCTTCCCACCCCGCCCCTAGGCTCCTTAGCCTGCTAGCGGCCCTTCCCCCAACCGCACCAAGACGGACGTTGAGCAAGGCCAATCAATACTCGGAGTCGGTCAGCATTCAGCCAATCAGGGTTCTGCGGAGGGGTGGGCTCAGACTAACGCCAGGCGACGGAGGGAGGAAAGAGAGGCTGAAGACTGGTTGACGGAAAGGAGGATCAGCGAATCAGAGCAGAACCTGCTGGCAAAGGGTGGCTCTAAGCGTTACTGAGCAGGCGCACGCTGGGGTGTAGGGAGCGCTCATTTGCATAAAGAGACGGAGTCTAAGGGAAAGGCGGGACGCTGAAGTCCTATACACCAGTCATCGCCTTGCTCTGCTTTAACCCCGCCTACTATCCCACCCACCAAGGTAACGGCTGGGGTCGGGATTGGCTAATGGGGTAAACTAGCCATCCTGCGGCTATGGCACGATTGGTCGAATGATTCATTTTCGAAGTTTGCAGCAGCCAATCTAAATGTTAGAGGCAGGGTTCGCCTAACTGACGTGTTGCTCCGCGGAACTCCTAGGTAGAGTCCCCGGTACACCGTGTGGCCGCAGGTGTGTCTCGCTAGGGGACCGTTCAGGGCTGGCCATGGGTCTCCCGAGAGACACGAAGGTCGCCCTGCGGCGTCCGAGAGCGCGGCGGTGAGAGCCGGAGGGAACGGGACGCGCGCTCGCACGTGGGTCCGGGGCCGGAGAGATCCCTCCGCGGGGAGGCGTGGCCGCAGTTTGAATTTGCGGGCGGGTAGTGAAGCTTCGCCTGTAGGTCGTGTGTCAGGGAGTGCGGCCGCCTGCAGGAGACCAACCCGGCTCCCTCCCCTGGCCTTTGGGGCTTTCTGAAGAGAAGTCTGGGCGACTCTCGTCGTCGTTGTCGTCTGAGGGGACGCGCGGACCTCGGGCGGGAGAGGTTGGTCTGTTATCCGATCGGGCTTGTCAGTAAAGGTCTGCCTCATTTTTCCGAGTAGCAACTCTTTAACCAGAACGCCCCGAATTCTTTCCCAACGTGCTCTTCTAAGACAGATTCCGTTAGAGTCCCGTCGCATTCTTTTTGACTTGTAGTGGGATTATTTTTCATTTTTTATTCTTGTTTGTCTTTCACTCCCTCATCTCCAGATGGATACGAGTTCACACGACAAGCAGCACTCTGAACTCAAGGAGTGTGTCGTGAATAATTCCGGTATGTCGGTGACCTGTTGCCCTCGTTAGATGGAAGGTCTGGGTGTTGACCTTGTGTTGCTTAGCCCAGCAATGTGTTGTCCGTTTTCAGAAAATGCCTCTTTTGTCTTGGGAACCGGGAAGCTTGTGACCCCTCAGAAGCGTGTAGAAGACGCGGCTCCTAATCTTTGCACCCCCGCAACCGTTAAGTCATCTTTGGACTTCTCCACGGTCACCGTAGAGCAGTTGGGAATCACCCCTGAAAGCTTTGTCAAGACCCCTTCAGGTAAGACAAGTTCTGGTATTGCTTTTTTTTTTTTTTCTATTTTAAAAATAGCTAGAGTATGCCCCATTGCCCATGTCTATGCTGACGGACTTTCTTGCTGTCTATATTTATACTGATCCTGCAGACTGGCTTGTTTGGGGAGATGTCTGTGCCCATCACAGCTCACCCATATACAGCAGGGACCAAAGGGCTCTTAGGGCTCCCGGCATGAGCTACTTTCGCCAGTAATTCTGTAGTTTTCCCTCTGTTTTCCCACTCATGGTGGTCCATCACCATAGGACACAGCTACTGATCGTTTCCATGTTTCATTGCAGGAAAGTCATCTTCCCTTCAGAAAGCCAGGCGCCGTTCTACAGTCGGTGTCCGGGGCTCTCCAGAAACAAATTGCCTGATCCGTTTCATTGCTCAGCAGCGGAGCCTAAAGAATGCAACAAGATCTCCATTGGCACACAATTCCCCCCTTCAGGTACATTTCCTCCCCAGTGCCCAGGGATTTTGTGAGGGGCCTGTTTCACTCTATTCCCGGGCTCTGCTTTGCCCTACTCTGTTTGGGTCTGGGGGGTAGTTGGGGAGGGGACTGCTTCCTGTGTCTTGCAGGCACTGTGAGGTAACATACATTGCTGATACCCAGCATGGCTCGGGTAAAATTTAGGAATCTTTGACTTGGGGGTGGGAGCTTTCTGTTTTGTAAAATTTTCATAGACTGAGGAAAGCTCCCCTTCTCCATTGTTTTTCTTTCTGTAATGTCTCTATTTCTAGTGTTTTCATAACTCTTGATTGGGCAGAGGAGGAGGAAAAGGAACAAATGGCTTATCTTTTGGTGTCTTGAGCTGTATATATTTTTCAGATTTTATCAAATTAATGCATGCCCTGAACAGTCAAATAGTTGAAGACTTGTTATGAAAGATATAGGCCCCTACTTGGGCCCTCTGCAATGGGTGTCCAGTGTTATGCTGGCCTTCTTACTCTAGAGTAATTCACTTCTGTTTTTTCTGTTTCGTTCTTCTGCTTTGCAGCATGGTCTGTGTACACAAGACAATTTCTTGCTGGTGTAATAAAACAGAACCTTGGGGTTTTCCTCAGTACCTTTTGGAAGGTTCATGAACTCAGTTTTTCTAATTTTACTAAATGTTATTTATGTTGATATTTATACTCATGAAGCAAAACTAGCGATGAATGGGACTATGGGCCATGGCAATGACATCACATCATCATCGTCTTAGTATTTGCTTGGTGTTCGCGGAAATATTAAATATCTTTGAAGCATTAATCATGATAAGCTTTACTACATACCATTCCTCAAATATTATATGTAATGAAGTGGAAGTCTGCATCAAGCACTTCAGAAGTTTCTAGAAATGTGTATGATTGAGTTGTGTGGGCTCAACTGGCTTTGGTTTGTTTTTTTTTCCCCACAGAACATTATTTTTACTTGATGGATCAACTGATAGAAAAATTGTGGTTAGTCAGGCTTGTAAATGTCATAAATAGACAGTGAATCTACCATGAAAACTGAAATCCATCTTACCAGTAAAAAGGGTTGCATTTTAAAAGGAAATTAAGGCTTTAGAAAGCATGTACCCATGACTGCACTTGACAGCTTCCTGACTGATCAGTGGGTATAGCATAAAATACTTTGATGTTGCCTTTTTAAAATAGATCACTTTTTGGAAAGTGAATAACAAAAGAAGTATTTCCAAATGATCACTGCCCGCTGTGTAGGTGAAAGGTGCCCCACACTGCGAGGCAGGCCGATAATATTCTCTGTTTGTATGTGGGTTTCAGTGTATATGTGTGGCCCAGAGGACATCAGATTTTGTCCTCTATTGCCTTCCACCTTGTTTTATGAGATAGTCCCTTTACTGAACCTGAAGCTTTCCAACTTGGCTACACAGGCTAGGGAGCAGGTCTCTGGGATATGCCTATTGGTGTAACACCCCCCAACATTGGGGTTACAGACATGCACCATCATACCTAGGTTTATATGGGTTTGGGAGATCAGAACTCAGGTCCTCATGCTTTTATGGTGAGCTCTTTGCTCACTGAACCAGCTCCTGGATCTATTTAAAGATTTTATTTGAAAAATAAAATGCATATATGTGCACCACATGTGTGCAGTACCGATGAAGGTCAGAAAAGGGTATCAGGTCACCTGGACTGGACTTCCAGGGTTGTGAACTCAGCCATGTGAGTGCTAGGAACTGAGCTGAAGTCCTCTCTAAGGGCAACCAGGGCTTAGCCATCTCCAGCCCTATCCCCAAATGTCTTAATAGATATTCTGTTGTGTTCACTTGCCAGAGTGGACAGTGAAGAATTAGCCTTCTTTCTTCATATGCTGCTCCTTCTCTCCAGCTTTTCAGTAGCTTGGTTATGTCAGCCTTCACTTGATTGAATTATTATGGTCCTGTGTGTTTGTGAGCTGGTTTTTCTTTTGCAGTTAGCTTACCCTCCTTTGCTCTGGGTCGCCAGATCACTGTGTGCTCTTATTCTATGTATTAGTTACTTTTCATTGTGGTGATAAAATACCATGAGCAAAGCTGCTTAGTTGGGGAGGCGTGGCAGCTGAGAGATCATAACTTTTTTTCTTGGTTTATTTTTCGAGACAGGGTCTATCTGTTGCCCTGGCTGTCCCTGAAACTCACTCTGTAGACCAGACTGACCTCATACTCACAGAGATCCACCTGCCTCTGCTTCCTGAGTGCTGGAATTAAAAGCATGCACCACCACTGCTCAGTGAGAGGAGGCAAGCTTGAACCCAGGCAAGGCTGTAAGCTCTCAAGAAAGCCGCTTCCTCTCCTGTACTTCTTCCTGCCAGACTGTGTATCTGAAAGGTTACTTCCCAAACAGTGACCCCCCTGGGGACCAAATTCAAATGCCACACCTATGGGGAACATTTCTCACTTAAAGCACCACATTTCTTTTCTGTCCCACCTCTGGCAAACTACTTCTACTTTTTGTATTTGATCACGCCATTTCCCTCCTCGCCATCCTTTCCTCTAGTGGGACACAGACATTTCAGCATGGTTCAGGCTTGTTTGGAGCTCAGTCTTACTGCCTCAAATTCCCAGTTGCTGTGATTACAGGCACGTGCTACTATGCCCTGCTCCCTGCCATTCTCTTGCTGTTGCCAACCACTTTTAACTTCTGTCTTTCACTGGCTTTGGCTGTGTTTAATACATTGAGACACTTCCTCATTTGGATTAGAGGACTACACACATGCCCAGTTTTTTTCCTATGACACTGGGCTTATTTCTGTTAGGTTTGCAGTTTTTCCCTCACAAATGCTGGTGTGCCTAGATGTATGTGCTGATGACTCTGAAATGTCCTCAGCTGAGAACTGCAGAGCGCCAAACCTAGACACCAGCTGCCTGTGCTGTCCCCGAGTATTGAGTAGAGTGTCCAAGCATGCCCCAGCCTAATTAGTTACTTATCCCATTGCTGTCACAGAACACATGAGAGACGCTGCTTAAGAAATGAAGAGTTTATTCTGGTTCACAGTTGTAGAGTACAATTCTGCATGGTGGCAGTGGCATGGTGGAGAGAGCTTGAGATCACATTGTATCCACAGTCAGGAAACAGAGCACACTGCCTTCATGTTCAAGGTGGTGGGACTTTTATTTCTTTTCCCACTCCCTCTCTCTTCCTTTAGTCTGGGGCCCCTTGCACATGGGATGGTACAAACCACATTCAAATCAGGCCTTCCACTCTGGAAATGCCCTCGCCTACATGCAGAGGCTTCTCTCTGTGGTTCTAATCCTGGCAAGTTGACTATCAAGAGTAGCCATCATACTAGCTAAAGCTGAACAGTAGATTTGTATTTCTCAGCACCTTATCCAGGCCACTCCTGCCAAATACCTCTTAGTCATTCTTGGTCTTTTCTACCTTAGGTGCCCATCAAAGTCCTTAAGGCTACATTTCAGAGGCCTGTCTGAGATTCCTCATATCCTTCCTGCCAGGGTCTTCGATTGGTCTTCTTTCCTTTTCTCCCATCCACCCACTATTGCACAGATCAAAGAGGTATTTTAGAATGAATCACATTATTGCTGCTGCTTTAAGCTTCCTATGTTGCCTATTTGAGATCAATCTACTTTTTTGAAGTCTCCTTGTTCCGTTGGCCTGAGCCCTGTCCACTTGTGGCCTCATCCTTGCCTTCCTCCAGTTACTGGACACACAGGCTTGCTTTCTTCTGATTGTTCCCGAGAGCTTCTACTCTTGTTTTTTCTGTACGCTTTGTTCCCTTGGTGTCAGACCACTTCTCATTGTGGTTTCAATTCAAGTGCCACTTCAGACCTTTCTTTCCTAAGTAGCCAAAGCAGCATATTTCTTGGCTCAGCCACATTGGTACTTTCTCCATAACATCTTAGTATGTTCTTAAACCTTGCTCTGGAATATCACTCCACTCCCACCCGGACCCATCTCCACCCACGCACCCTACCCCAAGAACTTGAGCACCTGGAATAGTTTCTGTCCATGACTTACTGACACCAACACAACTCATGAGACAACAGCATGACGAAAGTTTTCATACTTTGTTCATGAACACTATTCTCTCAGGAAACAGGTTTAATTAGGGAAACGTAGTTTAAGTATTCCCAAGTGCTCTGAGCTCCTGGGACACTAAGCCAGCCCTGACACATTCAAATGAGCTCACAGAAATGTGCATTCAAGATAATTTGTGTGCCTTTAAGATAATCTTAAATTATTAGATGAGTTGCCCACAGGCCTGTTGGCAATATTACATGCTGGTTATGTCACAAAGGTTTACATCATCAGGTACATTTCAGTTTAAAATGTTCCACTATTATGTAGTAGGCAATTTGTCATAGGACTGTGCCTAACTATGCAAATATAAGAGCAGATCATCAAACATGACTTCAGGATTTTAACATCTCTCTCCATATAATAACATAAAAGCAGGTAGCTTTCTTTCTCCCTTTTTCTTTAGAGTGTTAAAATTACCACAGATTACTCATTAGAAGAAATGTTACTGGCTCAAGATAAAAGAAAAAGCAACCTGGATAAAGTGCTTGATCAGTAGGTTGGTTTTTAGTTAGTATAAATTCAGTTTTGTCTTTGTGTAGAATCTTGTGGGCGGGGTTTCTATGCGCTTCTGGCCTTGTGCATCTGTGTTTGTGTCTGAAGTAAATGGTTGACTTTCAGCCCTAAGGAAGTACGAAGATCTTATGATGTTAGGGAGTTAGCCAGGAGGAGGCAGGAGTGGTACGTGCTGGAACTAGAAGGGATCATCCTTGTCTTGTGGCAGTCTCCGCAGGTGGAGGTCATCTGTGTGCTGGGCACTGTGCTGTGATGAAGATATTAACTTCCGGGGATGCTCTCTGCTGCTTTTGTCAGTATTCCAGATGGGCTCCCTTTCTCTTCCTTGCTCTCCTACTCTGAGGTTGACTTCTCAGACACATTTGTTCTGGGCTGCTTTCTCGTCCCTTTCATACTGCCTTGTTGACATTGTCTCAGTGATGGCTGCCAAGGTTGTTCTTAAGCCCCTTAGAATCCTTTTCAAAGTGATTTATTCCTCCCCCACCCCCAAATGTAGGAATGCATTTGGTCTGTAGCCTCTATAACATCTACCCATTTTAAGTTTCTGCTAGCCTGGCTTTGGGTATACATCTGTGGGTAACCACTTAGCTTTTCTTCTTTGCTCAGATTTTAGAAAACAGGAACAGAGGAGCACTAAGATGGCCGTGGCACACTTAATATTCAGACAGAAAATGTGTAATTCTGAGGACAGGAAGCTCTGCCTCACTAACTTGTCTTTATAAGCCTTCATGGGCTTTGTTTTGGAGTCATTGGTAGCACTCCTAGCTAAGAAGCTGTTAGATTTATAATGCTCCTGTACTTTATACATTTCACAGGGTACCCCGGGACTCTATCGACATGCCGGTGCTTTAAAAGAGCGAATGGCTGCTTTCCAGTCAGCTTTTCACTCCGTACAGGAAACTGAGAGGATGGCCAGTGGTCCTGCAGTCTCAAAGGCAGTTGGAGAGTCTCAGACATCATATTTGAGTGAGTAAAATGGGTTCACCAAGGTAGACTTCTGTGTATAAAGATAATCTATGACACGAAAAGATTTCTTTCCACAAGGTGAAAGCAATTTTTTCAGCGCATAGTCGTTTCTGTAAATGGAGACTCATAGCTAAAATCTGCAGTATTTACACAAAACTAGATTTTTGGTTTCAGAGTTTTGTTTTAGTTTTATCTGCTCTAGTTTGGTGATGCTAAGGATCATGCTCAGGGCCTCGAATGTATTAGACAAATGCTTTACAACCAAGTCCCACCTAGGCCCCATGGTTTCTGTTGAAAACCTAGACCTTTATTTCCACAGTTACACTTGTTCTGGATTGTAAAAGGCCAGTGTCAACTAACCGTGTCAGGCTTCAGATAGGGCCTGCAGTAAATTTAGATTTGTATTGATTTTTATAGACTTCTTGTTAAACTTTGCAAAAACGTATGTGAATGGCAAATACCCAGCCCTAATGTTACCACAGATTTGTCCAGTCTAATCACTGTGTTACTAAACTGCTGTATTCTTTGCTATGTCCATATAGTTCATTTGCTATTTTTTAGTCAGTTCTGTCTTTTTCAGTCACCAAGTACTTAAACACCAGAGCTTAACAGAATACTGGCTTTCCTGCAGTCCTGTTCTTCTAGGACTTTACACTCTAATTACTTCACAGATCCCAGCTATTCCATGGTTCAGTATCCATTCAGATATCCGAATTTGTAGTTTGTAATTTACCTATTATTTGTTGTCTAGGTTTCAGGTTTTTTACTTCATTATTATAATGTCATAATAATTTGTACACAGAAATAACTGAGCACATTGCAGTTGTCTGTTTTCTTTTTTGTTTTGTTTTTCCCTATACACAAAAATCAAGTACAATCAAATTAGAACATAACTGTCTTTCTGGTTTTGCCAGCATGTAGTTTGCAGGCCATGTGCACCAAATGTAGTATCTTAGGGTTCTCTAGAGGAAGAGAAAAAATGGAATGAGTATCTATTACCACAGAGATTTGCTTCATTGGCTTGCATACTATGGGCTGCTGGCTGCACCCTGCAGCAGTTGAGAACCTGGTAGCTCTTCTGTCCTTAAGGCTGGGTGCCTGTAGTCCCAATGTGCAGCTGAAGCCCTAGAGGGTTCTTGGAGGAGAGATACTGGTCATCAGTTCAAGTTGGAAAGCTGAAGAAACCAGTTCTGATGGCACTTGTGAAAGGTCAGTCACCCAAGGGCTGCACTGAGCAATGAGAGTAAAGATGGACAGGTGAGAACTGCACTGCTGTCCTCTCAGCCCTGGCTGGTCTCGCGTTTGCTTTAGACCAGGCTGGCCTTGAGCTTTCTGGTTACCCTCCCACGTGCTAGCTGGCACTACTTGTGTGTGTCAACACACCTGCCTTCAGTTTCCCTTTTTAAGTAAAAGGAGTTAGCAGATTTTTTTTCCTTTGAGGATTTACATAGAGACACTAAACTGCCATTATTATGTTACAATGAATGATATTTTAAAATGATAAATGTAAAAGAAAATATTTATCCCTATGTCATTTTGTTTCTATTTTGTGTGTGTGTGTGCATATAGCCAAAAAAGAAGGTCTTATTGAATACCAGCACTCTGGGTTCCCTGTAAACTCATCTTCAAAACGGCGGAGAATATCCTCCCAGAACAGCCCTGATGACCACCTCAGCAGCGCCAAAGGGAAAGTGGCGCCCATGCAGGTGACCAACAATCACACCTGTGCTGTGGACACCTCTGCAGATCTGCCTGAGGTGACTATGCTTTCCACCCAGAGACAGACCAGTGGTTTTCTGCACAAGCAGTTTGAGGACTGTCAGGGCCCGAGATAAGAGTTGGTGTGGTGAGAGAGAGGCAGAGAGAGAAAGAGAGAGGAATTATGTGACTTTTTTTGTCTCTTGGTTTAGAAGCTGTTTGGGAAGATTGGTTGCTTTTGATTGCTTTTATGAGAAGATAAAGCCCAAGGGTCTTCTGCATGAGGTGTTGTACATAGTGATGGTTGGGCCTGAGATGGCTCTTTGTGTTCAGCCAGGGAGCACAGGTCCCTGAGCAGGTTGTTCAGGTATCAACTGGAGTGTCTGTTGCTGAGATGGGGAGCACCTGTCCAGGTTTGTTCACCTGCGTTTTCCTTGCCCACCTAGTCTGTCCTAAGACTGCCTGGGAATCAGACTGTTGTTAAAATTCATCTTTGCTTTTCTGCTTGTTTCAAGTAGCTTTAGGAATTCTTATGGATTGTGACAACCTAATGTTGTTGAGGTTCGGGAAAAACAAAAACATACCTGAATTTTATGAAAGTGGGACCAAGAATACTACTGGGTTTGGTAACTTGTGCACTGAGAATGCAAAGCCAGTCACATGACCCTTTCTTCTCTGTCTTCATTCTGTGACAGGGTTTTCTTTCATTCCTGAGCGGAGGCGCCTGACACCATCACAGCTGCAGCTAGTTTTGAAATTTTTTGTTTGAGGGTGTGAAGAAAGAGTGTGGGTGCATGTAATAGAAATCAGAGGTCAACTCTCAGAAATTGGTTCTTCCCACCTTGAGTTCTGGGGACTGAACTTGGTCATCCTGCTTTCAGAACAAGTGTTTGCCTGCTGAGCCCAACAGTTGAAACTTAGTCTGTGCCACCTCTGCAACTTAGATCCAGTTTATGACTGACCTAGTGACATGTTTGCAAGTCACTAGAGATTCCTTAGTTTCATGTAGTGTATGTGGAGGTCAGGGGAGAGTTTGTGTGTGGGTTCTTCCCTTCTACCATGTGGCTTCTAGGAATTGAACCCAGGTTGTTAGGTTGGAAGTAAGCGGCACCTTCTCAAAGCCATCTATCTACTCACCCTAGTTCTCTGTGATAATAGGAAAAGGCGGGGGCGGGGGAAGTCATAGCACAATGATCCCAAACTGCTCCTACAGTCCTTGTAATACAAGAACCACTTGTATTGCAGACTGGCTTATATTCCCAGTTTCCTTTGCTTTATTTAAGGTAATAGAAAATGATCATTTGGCAGAAGCAATAGTAGTTGTTTTTTTTTCCAGACTTTGACTCATTCACATAAATCACAAAGGAGAAATGATTTCCGAATTAATGTGGTATGCCTTTGAGAATTTCCTCTCTAGAGGCTAGCAGGTAGCACAGCTGTCAGAGCTTCAGTAGGCAGCAAACATGAACCTCATAAACTTTTCTTCAGGGTTGAAAATGTTCTGTGGAGTATTCTGGGGTTAGTGCCCACTGTACTTTGCCCTTGCTGGCTGGAGACCAACTGAACAACAGATTTTCAGTCATCCCCAGTGGTTATTGAAATCTCCACAAAGGTGTTAGCAGCACAGTTAGTAATAACATGTTGTAATTTTTGTTTATTCTTTCATCTTTTCTCCCAGAAGCCATCCAACATTGGTCCAGCCCAGCCTGGATGTGTAGTTGCTCCTCTTCCAGAGCTCATAGAGACTTCACCTGGTAAGTATATCATTTCCTTAGTGCAAACATGTATTGTCCCATTCATAGACATTTGTGATGTGTGTGTCCATAAGCTGAAATGAGTGAAAGCAATTATGGGTTGTAGGCAGAATGTTTTGAGATCATTGTGCTATGACTGTGGGTTTTTTTTTTTTGTTTTCTGTTTTTTTTTTTTTTTTCCTGTTATCACAAAGAATTGAGGTGGACTAGATGGCTTAGAAAAAGATGCCTACTGCCAGCCTAACAATCCCTAGAGCCTTCGTGGTAGGAGAGAACTCACACAAACTCTTCCGACTTCCATAGACGCTCCATGTCACACGCCCACCTCCATACACTCACATCATACACATGCACAATAAACCAGTAAGTTATTTTAGAATTTTTAAAGTAAAGTTAGTAATGCACTTCCAAACTGGTGAGCTATTTTACTATAATAAAAGTATAATGATAGGGCCAGTAATACATGGTGGTGCATGCCTGTAATCCCTGCTCTCGGGATGCTGAAGCAGAATTAGGAGTTCTAGGCCAGCTTTGGAAACAGCAAGATCCTGCTTTAGCAGAGAGGGGAATAGGAGGGATATAGTAAAGGCCTACATCCATCTGTTTGCCTGCAAATTTCAAGATGTCATTATTTTTTACCGTTGAGTCATACTCCATTGTGTAAATGTACCACATTTTCTTTAGCCATTCTTCAGATGAGGGGCATCTAGGTTGTTTTCAGGATCTAGAAAACACCATATTGAGTGAGGTAACCCAGATCCAGAAAAACAAATATGTACTCACTCACAAGTGACTTTTAGACATAAAGCAAAGAAAAACCATCCTGCAGTCCACAACTCCAGAGAACCTAGACAATAAAGAGTACCCTAAGAGAGATATTCATGGATCTACATAGGAAAGAGAAAAAAATAAGCTCTCCCGAGTAAATTGGGAGTGTGGGTGCCACAGGAGCCAGAAGGGGAGAGGGGAGAAAGGAAAAGGAGCGGAGAAAATGTATAGCACAATAAAAACAAGGGCCTGTGACTACTAGCAAATATATTTTGTTAGAAATACACTATAAATAATCTGGCTGTTTTGTTTTTGAGACATAGCCTTGTGTCACCCAGATTAGCTTTCAGTTCACTGTATAGCCTATGATAACCTTGAACTCCTAATGTTCCTGCCTTTATCTCCCAAGTATTGTGACAACTGGTGTAGGGATCACCCTGCTTTAACCCATTAAGGTTTCAAGTAACTATTGATATGACTTGATTTACATCTATTTTGCCATATGCCACCTTTTGTTTTATTTGATTTTTTTTTTTAAGAATTCTGTTTTAAGCCAAGCAGTGGTGGCACTTGCCTTTAATCCCAGCACTCAGGAGGCAGAGGCAGGTGGGTCTCTGTGAGTTCGGAACAGCCTAGTCTACAAAGTGAGTTCCCGAACAGCTAGGGCTACATAGAAAAACCCTGTGTTGGGCGGAGAAAATAGAATTCTGTTTTAATTTATTAGTGTTTACCATCTTTTAAGCTGTACCGCGTTCTGTCTTGTTCTCTTACTCTGGGTTCCAGCACACATTCTCAGCTGTTCATAAAACACAACAGTTTACTCCCCCTATGGCTTGATGTCCTCCCTTCCTTTCCGTGTTATTTTTACCCTTTGCACAGTCAATACCATACACATTTGCTTGACTGTGACTCCATGCATGTTACCATTTTTGCTTTTAAACATCAAATGCTTCGTGTAATTTAAGAGAACGTAGTTTTTATATTTACTGAGCATATGCCCCTTTTTCTGGTCCATTTGTATCTTGTCTTTTGTTTGGTTTGTTTATAATCTTAACCATCTCAGTTCCTGTGGAGCTTCCCTTCAGCTTCTAAATGAACTTTTCACCCTTTCTTTGTAGTGAATATCTGCTCCTCCTTTTAATTTTCATTCTAAGGTCGATGGGTGGATTTCTGCCTCCATAGATAAGGTACAAGGACAGATGGTGATACCTCACTCTGCAGTCCATCTGAAGCAGGAATATCTTAGCACCCTACTAAATCCTACCTGGAAGTGTTGGGATGAGCAGGGAAAGGGGACATTGTGAGCAATGGGGCTTTGTTAATGTAGTCTAGTGTTTTGTGCTGATTATTTGATGAACCTACCCAGTCAGGTGGGCTGAAAAGCTTTTGTTAAGGCCGGGGAGATGATTTCACCATAACGAGCACCTGCACATCTTGAGAGGCTCACAGTGGTTCCTCACACCCATATTAGGTGGTTCACAACTGCCTGTAACTTGAGCTTCGGGAGATCTGCACTTCTGGGCTCCACAGGTATCTGCACATTAGTGCTCTTGCACACATACAGAAGCAAACATAAATTTAATTTTTTTTATTTATTTTAGAGAAGATTGTATAATGTATTTTCCTGTCTCCCTTGCATTCCCCACTGCTTGCATCTTGCTCCTCTGGTTGAAAATCTTGTCAAGTAGGTCTTTACCTCTGCTGTGGCACTACTAAGAGTCTGGCATTCAGATGACCTCACTGGTCATCAATGCCAAGTGACTCAGTAATATTTAGTCATTTACATGATATCTCCCCTTAGCAATCATATTTTAACATCTACCTTTCCTTGCTGTTTTTCATTTAGATCGGTGGTTCTCAACCCCTTTGGCAAACCTCTATCTCCAAAATATTTATTCTACAATTCATAACAGTAGCAAAATTATAGTTATGAAGTAGCAGTGAAAATAATTTTATAGTTGGGGTCACCACAACCTGAGGAACTGTGTTAAAGGGTCACAGCATTAGAAAGGTTGAGAATCACTGATTTAGATGGTTATAACATGTTTCATGTAGTCTTAGTGTGTGTGTCATACAGGGTTTTTTCTTTTCAGTCAGATTGCATCTACATCACTGAGTAGAAGTCCAACTTAACTGGACTCCTTGCATTTGCCAATGTGGAGCTTGCACATTAGTTGGGGCAGCTTCTGTTGGGGCTGATAATCTCTCCCCTCGTCATATCCTCCTCCATATCAAGTACTAAAATGACTTATTTTTGGGATTTGACTCCGGGTAGGTTTATTTTATGTTGCAAGTAATAGGTATACTAAGAAAATGTACCTTAGCACTCTAAGGCTCATTCCTGACCTTTTTCCCCACCCTCTTGTTGTAGAATATTATTTTAAGGTGTGTTACTTTTGTTTGTGCTCTGGGGAACATTAGTTTAATGATACAAAGATGTGTTTGGTTAAATAAAATTCACCTGCTGTCAGGAGGCTGGGTTAGCAACTAACTGACAGGAAGGTGGTAAGGAGGAGCCGGGGGAGATGGGTTTTTAAGGAGCAGGCCAGGAGCCACACAGGGCTTTTTGGAGAGATGGGAGAGGGAGAGGGGGTGATCTGCTTGCTATTCAGCCTCTGAGGAGCAGAATCCCATCTCAGCCTTTGAATCCTGAGTTCTTTAGAAGGACAGAAATTTAGATAATTCCCTTAGTAACTTTAGAAGAGTCAATGCCTGGGGGAGCAGGATTTCCTCAGACTGCGGCTCTTGCTGCCCTATTGCCGCCTATTGATAGCATGAGAGTTACAGTTGCTGATTCAGACAGCTGAGTTTAAAAGGCAGAAATAATTTGAAAAGAGAACATCCTCTGACTCAGATTTCTGTGGAAACCAAAACCTCTTATCTTTATTTGAATAGATGTATTCTAAAATGTATGCCTAGTGCTGCTTCTGTCTTAGGCTCATGTCCAAATGAAGTCTGGGAGAGTTGGGATTGAGTTTAGCGTATTCTAAGTAAACACTCTACAACTGAACTATACCACTAGCACTTGGTTTTGTGAAACAGGGTCTCACTGTGTAGCCTTGACTGCCTTAAATTGTCCATCCTCCTGCCTCCATCTCCTGAGCACTTTGCTTACCGAATTTCGAAATATCGTGTTACAGTCTCTGCAAGTGTGGTGAGTATCTCGTGCCTTGAAGAAGCAGATTCAGATGATCCCACTCTCTTTCTCATTGAAGGACTTGGAGTTGCTGACTGTGTAGAGGGCACACAATCAGTTGTTGCTGTTCCAGTTGACACACCTGCCTCACAAGTCAACTCAGACACAGCCCCTGCCATCAGGTCACCAGAAACTCTTGTGTGTAGGGGCAGCAACCCTCCCACTAAGACCTTTGTGCTTCGGTCTGTGTTGAAGAAGCCTGGCAAGCTGTTTGCAGAGAACATAAAGGTAAAAGTTGCTCTTCCTAAGGCAAAGGAGTGCTAAGTCCTTTTGTGTCAGACCAATAACTGAAGTTCACTGGTGTTGAGTGAAGTGCATTGTTCCCACTTGGTTTTCCTTTTCGTTTTAGCTCACAATACTAGTCTGAGATTGGTCTATTTTAAATTAATATTATGTTGATAACCAGAATGTAATGTAGATAGACTGTATAAGTATAAAAATTTTATCCAAATTATAACTAATTGCATTGCCAAATTAGTTCATGGTGAATGTCTCAGTCTGTAACTAGGCATGCCAAACGTGGGCTTAACACCTCTTCAGATGGCCGTGTTTCTGTGAATGCAGTAACCTAAGAGTAGTAGCATGTACTGAGCAGTTTTGTCAGAGGCCTTGGCATGTGTACATTGATAGTGCATTGTTTGTTGTACATATCAGCCCCTTCCCCGGTCAGGAGAAAGTACTAACTCAGGACGGTGCTGATTAGGAATCTTGTTTGGGGCAGAACTATTCTTAAAGCAGGTGCTGATCGTGGTGGTTATAGTACTCAAAACCTCAAACTAGGAAGGGTTCTAGGTGAGGTTGAAATGTAAGTGATGATTAACCAGGACTTTGATCCTGCCTGCAGGCCTGGCTGTCTTCTGCAAGGCTTGTTCTGTCTGTGCATTTATGACATCCCTTCCTTTATAGTGTACCCTCTATAATCTTTTGGATAAACACAGACAGAAACTTCTTATTTCATCCTCAAAAATATGGATACTCAAGAAATTACATTATTAAAAGTGCTGTTCTCATGTTTACAACAAAGCTTCCTTTTAATATCATTTACCTCACCTGTCACTATTTTAGCTCAGTTCTCATGCTCAAACCGTTGTAATCTCTGCCTGAGCTGACAGCTGGTAGAAAACACTGAAATTTCCCCACTCACATCTTTCTTAGCTTGCTAGATCAAAAAGGGATGATTTTAACACATACTTAGGGATTTCTGTTCTCTAATTTGTGCCTATAATACTGTTTATTAAAACATAGAAGCCAAGGACTGAGATATGACTTAACAGTTAAGAGCACTCCCTCCTCTTATGGAGGATCAGGGTCCAGTTTTTGGCACCCATTTGGCAACTCACAACTGTCTAATGCCTGCATCAGGGGATCCAGTGGCCTCTAATGGCCTCCACAGACACCTAACATGTGGTACACATATATACATGCATGCAAAACACTTATACACTTAAAATTAAAATAAATATTAAAAAATATTCAAAGATAAGAAAACCTAGATTTTTCTTGCACATTTTCAGTATGGTGTTTTAAGCCAAAGCAGTTAAGAAAATAAAGGTACTCAACAAAACAATTTTTCAGTCTCTTTCTAATGACTTTGTATGTTATGAAAGGAGTAAAACCTTTGATTGGTGTGTATTTCGATTAGGAATACAACCTTTGTGATGACGGGGCTCATCTAATCCCAGATCCTTCGAACTGGTGCAAGGAACAAAGAGCAGGTGTGTTATCCGTATTTATTTTTAAGCCTAAGGATATCATTTTCCTTCTAGAACTCGATGCAGTTTATTAGATATTTTGACAATCTACTCATGCTTTCCTGCTTCTGAAATTACGTGGGAATGGAGAGCAGTGGGGAGAGAAAAGTGTATTTTCTGGAGCCTCATAATTGGTCTTGGGCTGAGGGTGTGGCTCAGTGGAAGATCATCCCCCTGGCATGGTTGAAGTCCTGCGCTCAGGCCTCGGCATCACTTTTGCCTACCAATTTTTACTTAATAGTACAACTGGCAAAGAACTTCAGAGATTCCAATTTTATTAACACTTTAAGTAATTGTCTGTAACTTATTTTAAAATCAGTACTATTTTAGTTGAAAGTATGTTTTTCTTCTATTTGCATTTTCTCTACAAATTGTTTTTTTACACAAATAGCAGCTAAATATACCATATCCAAACATTTTAGTGTATGCGTTTTAGATAAGAGAACAGCATAATTTTAATGTATTCTCACTTATTGTCTATAGGTAGGGAAAACTGTAAAACACCAGACTTTGTGAATCTGAAGAAGAGGAAAAGAGTTACTTTTGGAGAGGATTTAAGCCCTGAAGTATTTGATGAATCTTTACCAGCCAATACTCCACTGTGTAAAGGAGGAACACCTGTCTGTCAAAGGAACATCAATGCTGCCAGTCCCCTGCAGTCTCCAGTTCATGAGCCGTTACTTCAGCCAAATTTTGATGACAATGAGGAGAATCTCGTAAGTGGGGAATGCATAGAAAAAAAGCTTGTTTTTATTTCCATGAGGTCTCACTTTTTCTTTTTATGTGAAAATTTTGATTTGAAATTATGAGGTAGACCAAATGACATGCCACATTTCCATCTCTCTTGTTTTTTCTTTTGTTTTTTTCAAGACAGGGTTTGTCTGTGTGGCCCTGGCTGTCCTGGAACAGGGTCTATAGACTAGGCTAATCTGAAACTCACAGAGATCCGCCTTCCTCTGCCTCCCAAGTGCTGGAATTAAAGACGTGTGCCATCACTGTCCGGCTCAATCTCTTATGTACATTTTTTAAAAAGACTTTTCCCAATTACAGACACTACTTTCATGGGACCTAAGTGCTATTGATTGTAAGATACCTTTTTTGTATCAAGAAAAGATACTCAGATATCTGAGAGGCATTAAAATACCAAAGAAATAGCCACCTTAGAATTAAAATAATGTCTTTTAAAACAGGGGTAAACACATTTTAGTAAACTTTCAGATTATTTCGGTGGGGGGGGGCAGGGAAAGGAAAAATTGCCAGTGTCAAAAAGCAGAGAGTGACATTACTGTATCCTAAAAAGTTTTCAAGGACAGCAGGGATTAACAACTTCATGCTGTCATTTTAGTAGCTCAGATAAATCAGATGCAGTCTTTGAAATGCATCAGCCTTCAGTCAAGGAATACATTGTTTCAGTAGCCCTATGTTAAAAAAATTTAAATTGTCACTGAAACTTCCCCACAGAATAATAGTTTTGCTAAGGAAGTCTACAACATATTTAAGCAAACAACAATATTGATTATATACACACTTTTCCAAATAGGACAAAATGCTGTGTGATCATCTAAGTCCATACAGAAAAGGCATTTTGTGAAATTTAGCATTTCTGATTAAGTAAAAAAGGGGAATTCAGATTGCCATTTTTATCTATGAATGAACAATAATTGCTGTCTTACTGGGAATTATGTGAAAAGATTTGAAATCTTTATTCTGCCATCTTACCGTGAATTTCGTTGAAAAAATATTGTAATCCAAGATGATGCTTCTTACTGATTTTCTTTAATTTGCTTTGTAGACGTTAAACAGTGGATTTTAAATAAATCAAAATGTAGTTTGTCATTGATTAATATGACCTTATTTTGGGTGGTTGCAGTTGGAAAATTTGTTAGCATTATGAAGATAACCAGTGTTCTAAGGTTATCTTTGTTTTGCTTAGACCTTTTCATTTTCTACTGATTTTTCTTTTTATTTGTGCTTGCAATTCCTCCTCCCAAAATAAGGCCTTGTTTTTTCCTTTGGGGTATATAATTTACATATTCACTGAACTTAAGGGTATCTTAATTTGTACTTTATTTTCCTTTGTTTAGGAAAACATAGAACCAGCTCACATATCATTTGCAATCCTGAGTCCTAGTAAATCTTCACTCTCTGAGACTCTTCCAGGTATCGTGTGTTTATCTTTTGTTGGGGCGTTTGTGTTGAGGTGTGCAATTGCTCATGGACCAAGGGGTGGGGGTGAGGAGAGGACATAATCTATTCTATGCTTTCTATCTGCCTTAACCCCTTTGAGACATGCTCTATTCCTGAATCTGAAGCTAGACTAGTGGCCAGTGAGTCCCAGTAATCCTCTCTCTATGCCCTTGTAGCATTGAGATTATAGGCGTGCACACAGCTTTGCTTGGCTTCCACTTTGCTTTTTGAGACAGGATTTGTCATTAGAATGAAACTTTTTCATTAGGTTTATGTGATTGTCTGGCAAACTCTAGGAATCTACCTATCTTGGCCTTCCTTTGTTGGGATTGTAATATCTTATACCATAACCTGCCTCTTTAACTTTAAATTTACTTATTTTATATGTATGTACCTATGTGTGTATACCACATGCATGCTGAACCTGCAGAGGTCAAAAGAAGACGGAAGATCCCTCTGGACTGGGAGTTTTGAGCCTCCTAATGTGGCTGCTGAGAACTGAACTTGGGTCTTCTGGAAGATAAATTCTCTTAACTGCTGAGCCATCTCTCCACTCTCACTACCTGACTTTTTTGTATGGATTCTGGGGATCAAACTTAGTTCCTTGTGCTCAGTGAGCACTTTACCAACTGAGCTGCCTCTCCGACCCCTTAATTCTTGTTCTCAGCACATAGTACTTAATCTCTTTATTCCTAAATTTTTTTTAAATGTTTATTATGTGTGCAGTGTTCTGTATGTATGTATGTATGTGTGTGTGTGTGTATGTATGTATACCTGCATGACAGAAGAGGGCACCAGATCTCATTATAGATGGCTGTGAGCCACCATGTGGTTGCTGGGAATTAACTCAGGACCTCTGGAAGAACAGCCAGTGCTCTTCATGACTGAGCCATATTTCCAGTTCCTATTCTTGAATTTTGATTTGTAGTTCAACAATATGTTCTTGATTTTAAGAAAACTAAATACTTTGTATGAGAAATTACCTCATCTTTCTTTTTCAAGTCTCATACTTCATAATCACCCACATTTAACTTAAATGCACTTTCTTTCTCTGCTTCAAATTGATGTACACAGTGCTGTTGGTCTCTTAACCTGTCAAGGATCACTAGTAGACTTCCATTTATATTTGCACAATGGGATTGTAAAGAACATTCCTAAATGACTAGAAGTTTTACCCACCATTAACATGGCATTTTCAGTGTATGTACTTTCCAAGTATGTATCTTTTACGATCATGATGAAACAAAGATTTTTTTTCTGATACCACACTTGGCTGCTGAAGCCTTGATGTGAGTTTTTGGGGTATAATCCTTTATTTGTGTTCTCTCCTTTCACGGATCCTTTGATGCCTTCCCATTGCTGCAGCTTAGGCTTGTGAGCATAGACTCCAAAGCCATAAATTACCGAGTTACAAGTAAAATGGCTACAGTCTATCATGTTCTAAGCTCTGAACATATCATTTACACCACTAAAAAACATCAGACGTGTCTAAGGTTGTGCAGTTAAGTGTTTCCTTAAGGTGTTTGTTCTTATTGCACTATTACATTCGGTAATGTGAAGCCTTCTAAAGATTGCTCAGGATCTCCATCCATTGCTCTTGTTAATTATTTGTGTCTAAATATGATATTAAAAGCAATAGTGACTCAAAACACTATGCAGTCCTTTAACTCTGGGTTGTATGAGTTTTGTGCTAAGAACCTAATTTTCCTTGTTTCTTGGTACCAGGCACTGACACTTGCGGTTCTTTAAATAACCATGAGGAAATAAGTCGTGTCGGTAGACCAACACGGACTTCTCACAAAAGAAAGGTAAATGCTTATATAAATCTTCATGGTATTTAAAAAAATCATTGATGAGTACTATTAAGAACTAATACTTGCTCCAGGCGGGGATGGTACATGCCTTTAATCCCAGCACTCAGTAGGCAGCAGTAGTAGGTAGATCTCTGAGTTCAACACCAGCCTGGTTTACAAAGCAAGTTCCAGGACAGCCAGGGATACATAGAGAAGCCCTGTCTTGAAAAAATATAAACAAAAAAAATTAATACTTTGTCTTACTCAGTGTGTAAACCAGAATAATGTCTTGCTGGTCTGATTTTAATTCTACTAGAAGAAAATCCATTAGAACAAGGGGTTTCCTTCAACATTTTGTTTTTATAGGAGGCAGCCTATTTGTTATCTTAGTTTTAGATCTATATGATGATAAATTTTATTGTAAATGTGGAGAAGATCCACATATAATTAAGAGCCAAAATGTAGTATAAGTACATGCTTTTTTAAACTATGCATTAGTTTGTTTTTATGGTGGCATTCAGCTAACAGGGATAATCATTGCTTACATTGACTCTATGTGTTTTGTTTTGGTCATTAGTTACATGTAATTGGATTTTTGTCTATAGGTTTGTAAATATAAGCATGCCTATACTATTAATGGAATATTCACCTGTCTGATTAGATGAAAATCTTTTATTTTAGCAAATTTACATTTCACAACTTGTATAAGCTAGTAACAGTTAAATACTTAGTTGATATTTTCTTCGTAAGTATCTGATGAATGAGCCACTAGTTCTTAAATCATTTTTTCCTAATATAATAATCTGATTCTATGCTTAATATGTTAGAGATTGGTAATTAGTAATTCCCTCTTTTAATTTAGGTTACCGTACCAGTAATGGAACTTGTTACATTAAGAAGTGGTGGCATGTAAAATGGTAAAAGTAGATAGGAGGTGTGGCTCAGTGATAGTGTGTGCACCAGGCAGCGTTTTAACATTGAGCACTGAAGGTGGGAGCAGGCAGGATGAGCCTGTCATAGGAAGAAAGGCTAACATGAAACCTACCATGCAGTGAAATGCTTTATGTGTCCTTATGATGATGTTCTTTATAGCGGTTGATGAGTTCTGCAGAAGAGGATGTTTGCAACTCATATGCTACAGAAGTTGAGCCCAGTGAAGAGATGAAAATGAACAGAAGGAAATCTCAAGAAAGAAAATGTACAAGCAAAGCACTTCCTAGAAAGAAACAGGTAAGGATGCTTTTCACAATTTAATTTACCTGGTGTCGTACATTTCTTCATTGACTAGGAAAGGAAGCATGGAAGTAGCTCTGCTCCTTACCTGAAACCAGTTCTGTATCCGCTTCATCTGTGTGTACATCCAGCCCAGGAAACAATAGAAAACACATTATTGCTCCTCTTCTGAAGTATTATACTTTTTTCTTTCTTCCTATGTAGCTCAAGTTGGTCTTCCTCCTTCCTTCTTCCTCCTTCAACCTTCCCATGCTGGCAATACGAGTATCACACCCAACTCCTAAAACCTTCATGGATGCACATGTCTTTTTTAATGCTTATGATCCTGAGAAGACAATTGCATGGATATCTTCACCAGTTCCTTTCTTGTTTAGTCTTCAGCTTCAGGTCTCCTCTTTCAGGATTGGGTTCTGGGCTTGGTTAACTGAAAAATATCCAATGCTAACAATTTATTTGTTTGCTCTCTGGGTGCTTTTAACAGATCTCCCAGGTCAGCTTGGGCGACTCTTGAGCCAATTTGTTAAGCACACACTCATCAAACTGCCTGTTATTTGTGAAATAAATGACTGTAGGCCCAATCCTTTGTGATGGTGCCCACATGACTTCTTCACACTCTGCTGCCCCAAAGTGTGAAGCTGCACTGTGTCAGTCTGATCTTAGCAACCCTGACAATTAGGGTTCCTCAACCGCTGCATCTTTGAACTCTTCTTTGCTGTACATGCCTGGTTATCTCATCAAGAGATGAGTGAATCAACTGCTTCTTGGACTTCCAGCCACAGAGTTACTTCTGTATCTAGAGAAAAGATTGGAAGCCAACTTAAAGGTGCCTCACTCTCTGTGTGTTTAGCTGACCCCACATCTTTCCATCGTTCCTTTACCCTTGCTGTTCTTTTGGTCTTGACTGTCCTCCCTCTGCTGCCTACTTCATTCACACCATCATCTCCTATCTAGAAATACTTGCTTAGCTTCTTCTCAGAACTCAGTCTGTGTCCATCCACTTTATTCAGTTCCTTAATTATGTATCCATTCTACCACTAATGATATCCTGGCCCACAGGCTACTCCTAAGCTTTCAGATATCCACAATTCTGTTTCCTAATTTGTCCTGAACTCCTTGAACTATTGCATCCATTTTTATAATAGTCTCATTTCTGTGTCCTTTTTAGCTGCCTTGTCTACTTGGCAGTTTCAACCCCAGGTTGCTTACTCCTGCCATGTAATGCCACTACTGAGACACAAATGTGGGGTTGTTCCATCTAGAGTCATAACTTCAGGTGTTACCTGAAATCCACTCTCATCTTCTGCTTTACCTGAATTATTTTTCCAATAAATACGGTCATTTAGTTACTAATCTATTAAAAGTTGGTATTTTGCCAGATGGTGGTACATGCCTTTAATTTCAGCACTCAGGAGGCAGAGGCAGGAGATTCTCTTAAGTTTGAAGCCAGCCTAGTCTACAGTGCAGGTTCCAGAACTGCCAGGGCTACAGCAAGAAATCATGTCTCAAAAATAAAACAAAAACATTGATATGTCTTCCACACAGTCTTATCTATGCATTCATTAGAATTCCACTCTCTGCCCTTGTAAATCATTTACTTTGTGGTGATTTCATATGCAACATGTTTATTAATGGCAAAGTCTTGAAAACCAAGTCTTCTTGATCTGTTAAGTCTATGTCCAGCTGCCTATTGGACATACCTTCTAAAGCCATCTCTTAGGAGCCCTTAATAGTCAGCATTTTCATAGTCAGTGTCACCCCTCAAGAAACCCACATAAAAGATACCATGATCTTCCTCTTATTTCATGAAACAAAAAAGACTATTTTTCCTTGTTGATTGGCTCAGTTACACCCGAGTCATCAAATTCAGAAGAAACCTTTTTCCTGCTTTGTTTTTTTTTTTTTTTTTAGACTTAGGGTAATGATGAAAAATTACCTTGCTTCAAAAGTGTGTTTATGTTCAATCAGTGGTATGCATACCACTTGTTGCAATGAAATTTATTTTTTAATCTATAGCTTTAAGAAATACAGTTACAAATAATGCATATATATTTCTTCCTAGCAAATCAGCGGCCAGACAATTCAGGAAGATTAAACATTAGATTGCTCTAATCCCTTCCAGGACCCTGCTGGATTAATTTAATTGATGTAATTTAAGCAATAGAGGTAGAATAGCAATGCGAAGGGGGGGTGTTAAGCAACAGATGACAGCCTTCAATGAATTTCTAGAAGAGAAGGCAGATGGGAGCATGTTGGCGAATAGAAGAGGTGGAAAGATTTACAGTTCAGAATGTGCTAGGGAAGAAACTAGAGGGGTCTGGGAACCAGCCTGCTTGTGGGAATCCCAAGAGACTCTGGCCCAGAATTGGCAGGTACAATGGATGGGAAGCGTGAGAAGTAGTACTGCAGAAAAAGATTAATTGAAGTCTTATATATGGAACAGTCTGCACCAGTTGGCATGCTATCCCTCTCTCCCGCCCTGATGTTCAGAACAGATGTTGTCATCTAGGTTAAAGCCCCATTCTGGCATCTGTAAATTCCCACAGTCTTAACAGCCAACTCTTGTCCTGACACAAAGCTTTTGTACTGCACTGCCTTGCCCTGTCCCTACAGGAAGTTCCCAAGGAAAGTTTCCATACAGCAAGGAGACTGAGCTAGAACACACAGGAAACTCGTATCACTCTAGTCTGTTCTTAATTAAGAATCAGATCATTGAGTGGAATCAATATTGTTAAAGAGACAAGTTAAAATACTGGCATGTTACAAACAAAACAAAAACCTGACCTCAGAGATGTCATCTATGGACTGGAAGAAATACATGTATTTTGTTAGATTTAAGAAGTTAAGAAGGGGATTCTATAAAAGGGAAACAGAAAAATAATTGGAAATTTAGGAAGTTGCAGGTTGTTCATCTGTCTTCTCTTGGCTCTGCAAGCTTAGTCCTGGCCCTGCTGAGCCATTGATCTCCACAAGTAATCCATGCCTTTGAACCTGTTAGAAGTAGAAATGGTCACACTGATCACTATATGTCACCTATACCAGGGATCTGCCGACATCCCCTAGATTTAGAACAAACTCTCCACTGTTGTTACATGAGATGATTTCAACTTGGGGAAATGTTGTGTCTTGGTCATTAAGCACCTGGGTGCTTCCAGCAGGCCGTTCCCCAAATACAGGCAAGGCACTGGTTCCTCCTGGTCAAGAGGAAGGGCAATGTCTTAGTCAGTGTTGTATTGCTGTGAAGAGACAACCATGACCAAGGCGAGTATTATAAAAGAAAACATTTCATTGGGGCTTTTTTAAAGTTCTGAGGTTCAGTCCATTATCATCACAGCAGGGAACTTGGCAGCATGCAGGCAGACATGATACTGCAGAGTATCTGAGAGTTCTACATCTGGATCAGCAGAAAGAGCAAGACATTGGACCTGGCTTGAGCTTTTAAAACTTCAAAGCCCACCCCAGTGACACACTTCCTTCAACAAGGCCATACTCCTTTCAAATAGTACTGTTAAACCAAGATGGGCATGCCTTTAATTCCAGCATGGGAGGCAGAGGCAGGCAGATCTCTTGAGTTTGGTCCCAGCTTGGTCTATAAGAGCTAGTTCCAGGACAGGCTCCAAAGCTACAGAGAAACCCTGTCTTGAAAAACACACACAAAACCAAAACAAACAAAAAAATCAAATAGTGTCACTTCCTATGTACCTATGAGGGCCATTTTCATACAAACCACTACAGCCAGTGACATCAGCAGAGACAATTTCTGATTTTACGGCTCTTGGGCCTCTTAAGGACTTGGGTCTGTGCTACTGCATCTGGCTGGTTCCTGAGCATTGCAGGCGACTGAAGCAGAAGAAGCTCATTCCATGTAACTGACCTACAGACCACTGTGGTAAACTCAGGGGCAACCTTTCACAAAAAGCCTTACTAGGATTCCTTAAGGGGCCCAGCATAAGTTACCAGGCTAAGTGAGATGAAAATGTGCCAACACTGAGAGCAACTGTCCCGGAAGTTTTGGGCCTGGAGATACACATGCTCCTTAAATTCCTGACCACTTTTTCAATGATACCTGTAGAGTTCAAATTTCTGCATGGAGACCTGCACAAAGCGGGTTACCCATGACTTCTTGCTCTCTTTACTCGCTCAAGTCATGTTCACTTTTCATCTTGTTCACATTTGAGCCTTATTTGGGGGATATTCAAGTAACTATGGCATGATGTCGTTAATTTAAAAAATAGCAATCAAAAAAAGAAGAAAATCTTAAGTAAAAAGGCAGCAAAAAATCACTAACGGAGGCATTTAAAAAGAGAATTCATGCTTCTGCTTTGATAACCCTGACACTACTGTTGGACACAGTAGTCTTCTGGTAGAGATGTTCATGTGCTGTTTCTCAGCAATATGACCAGAAACTCTTGTCTCAATTGGTTTGATGGCTGTCTGTACGCTGATCTGGCTCTCTGTCTGTCTTTCTGTCTGTCTATCTATCTATCTATCTATCTATCTATCTATTTATCTCTCTCTCTCTCTCTCTCTCTCTCTTTGGTTTGGTTTGGTTTTTCAAGACAAGGTTTCTCTGTGTGTAACCCTGACTGTCTTGGAACTCACACCGTAGAGCAAGCTGGCCTTGAACTCAGAGATTCACTACCCATCCTGATCTGGTTCTTTTGAAAGAGCAACAGTAGAAAAGTGATGGGGAGAATGGCTTTGTAGCTATTGAGGCCTGGCCTTCCATCTGTGTGTGGTAGGCGGCTTGTTGTGAGAAATATTCAAGTATGCTTTTTGCACTTGCTTGGTTCATGCTTCATCATTGGTTGAAGAAGAATAAATCTGGAGTTGTTTTATGTTGTATTAACTCACTGTTTGCTTATATTTAAAGAAAAGGATTAAATCCATTTTCACCACACCTCTCCCCCACATACATACACATATACATAGATATATACATATATATGCACATATGTAATATATAGCAGTAGTCAAACTGGAGAATAAAGGAATTTCTA